GAGAGCTGAAACCTTTCAGGAATCGTTGGAGGGAAACGTTTTGTGATTAGTTCCCTTATTAAAAGTTGGGTTAACGAGGTGCCGCAGAGCTTATCTTTTCCTTTGCCGTTTTGAGGTTTTCTTTTTTTTGAAGGCGAGGGGATTTCTTGAGTCATTCCCACAGCAGCCACACCTAAAGGAGAGAAGACACAAGAGCGACAAAGACAAATTTGAAACCTTTTGTTCCATATTGACGTGATCTTGGAAGGGAAGACAGGTTCTCCCTGTAGTGCTTCCTTAGAATAAGCATTTCACAAGCAGCAGCTCTTTGAGGGCCCCGAGCAGCCACACGTCCTCTGTGAGCCCCCTGTGTCCCCCTTGTCCAAAACGCCACTTTTGTGCACTTGTAATGATCCTTCCTGTGCACTTGGAAGCCTTTATTTTCCATCACCTTGAAAGAATCTGCAAGTGCTTTGTGATAGAGACCTTTCTTGGCACAATTGAGAGTGGGGTTCAGGACATCCTCCATCTACTGTTGATCTCTGAGCTTGAATTTATGTAGATCCCTCCATGTCTTCCAGACTTCAGTTAAGTAACTTCTTACTCTGTTACTGTGTTATCTGGGGAGCAGGATGCAGGGAAAGTTTGAGGGAGCTTCAAGGAGGACTGGGGTGAATTTGATTGGGAAATGAGCTGGAGGAGACAGTGCCAAGATCAGCTCCGTGCGGCTCAGTCTGCTCGGATTCCCAGCACCAGGAAGGCAACAGGTTTTATGGCAAATCAATAGGGGACGGGAAGCTGCGTCCTCTCGTTTCAGCCGGAGCGCAATGCGGCAGGACGCTTTGGGGTTAGATAATGCGAATCCTGCACAAAACTCAACCTGCTGAGCATCAGAGAGGAGGCTCAGAGAGGACCACGTGGTGTTCGGCTGTGCCTCTCCCACAACAGCCCTGTTCAGGCAGCTCCTTTCTGCTTTCTGGTTAGAAGTTAAAAAGCGGCTCTGCAAAGCTCGACGTGACCTAAAGACTCTAACCTGTTTGTGGGTGCTAATCTTTACATCTCGTAGTGGTTCTGAGGTGGATACGGTTTCTCTGCTAGACATCTAGTTTCATGTCTAGAGAGGAATCTGCAGTTAAACTCAGACCCCTGCAGTTGGAGGGGAATCTAAAGTTAAACTCACTCTAAAATTCCTTGTTTTAGTTAAAACATGCTTTTTTTCTCTTATTTTGCTTCAAACTAATTTGGTGAACAAGGAAGCAAAATGTAGCTAACGAACCAAGTGTGGAAAAGTAGTGTCTAAAATGTAGATATTAGCCTGTTTTTTTTTTTCCCTTAACTCCTTTTGTGTGGCTTTCCTCCAAGTTTCCTTGCTCTTTTTAGGTCCTTGCAGTGGTGTGGTTTTGTTTTTGAACTTGGAACGAGATAGTCTCTGAAATGAACCGCTTGAATAAGCTGAAAGGAAAAAAATTCCTTCCTTCTGCACCTGCTGGAAGGAAGGAGCCGTTTGGTTGAGCCCTCGTTCCAAGCGCGCAGCTCCTGGCTGCCGCTGGCTCCGGTGGCTTCGCTTTCCTTGGGATTTCACAACGGACACTTGGATACGTGGACTGGATTTAAGCAGGTAGTAAGGCTCAGACTGAGTCTGCTTTTAAAGTGTGATTTTAAAAAGAAATGTTTTACGAAGAGTAAATACAACTTTGAGACCATCTTGCAAAAACTCAGTTTCTTGCTGTGTTTTCCTGCAAGGCAAAAGCTGAGCTGCTGTTTTACGCACGCGATACTGTTCAGAACTGCATCTATCTCCAGGCCTCTAATTAAGAGACGGGGTGCACGGACCTGCTGAATGATCTCGCTCCTGATCCGGTCTGGCAGCTCCTGGGGCTCCCTGGTTATGGTGAATCCTGAGCTCTGAGGCTCAGCACGGCAGGCAGGGGCTTTCTGGGAGAGTCCAGTGGATAACGGCTCCAGGTGGGATGTTAAGGCAGGCAAGGGGGCCCTTTGGGATGGGATGCTCATGGTTTAGACCCTTGCACCTTATCCATTAAGATTTGGCAGTAGTGCAGTAACTTGCAGTGAAAATGCAACTGCAGGGGCTGCGCCACTTCTGCCAACAGTGCGATGTGTTCACGAGATTAGGCCGCTGCCTCCTCGCTAAGAAAAGCAAATTTTCTGCCAGGATGAGCCCATCCTTCGAGCTCTTCTATTCATAGGTTAATGCTTCTGCTGTTTAGAACGGATATATTCACCGAATAAAAAAACAAAAAAACGCCATCCCTTTCCAAAGCATTAACCGCCTCCACACCTGCACCTTCCACAGGCTGCAGCGCACGGCTCGGAGGTGAAGGGACCTTCCCCCCGGGCTGACAGATCTGTTTTCCTCGCAGCGCGGCCGCGGCTCGACGAGGGCAGCGGGGCGGACGGCTCAGCGGGCCGCAAAAAAATTCCCGCTGCCAACATCTGACTCCTTCCCCCTTCTTGTGCACAGAGGCATCTGCTTGGGTGTGGTTGCAAAAAAAAGCAAAACAACAGGGCTGGCTTTTAGGTTTCCTCTTCTGTTTTGCTTATTTGGCTATGCGTGTTTTGGCTTTCGAGCTGCGCTCGGCTCTGCAGCGCTAACCCGTGAGCTGATGTGCCCTCTGATAAGGAGCCACCCCGGTTAAGGAGCGCGCAGTGGTTACGAACGGGCAGTAAGTACCTCTGTGCTCGCCCAGATGCTGATTTCTAGGCTCACAAGCACCGCTTTTTACTGCTTGCCCAGCAGGAGTTTGCCAGGAGCTTGCTGACTTTAATAGACTATTTCAGCTCTTTTCCGCGCACGAGCAGCGAGAGGAGGGGAAGCAGCGCGAGGGGTTACGCCTGCCCCAGCCCAACAAATTTTCCTGCTGGCTTTCCTGCTTGAGCTCCCTCATTCCTGCATTTTTTTCCTCTGCTTTTTATCATGTTTTACCCTCCCATTGTGCTCTGCAAAGGAGGCTGCGCCTGGAGTATTGGGTGCAGGTCTGGGCTCCTCAGGACAAGAGGGACCTGGAGCTTCTAGAGAGGATCCAGCATAGGACTGCGAAGATGATGAAGGGACTGGAGTATCTATTGTATGAGGAAGGACTGAGCAAGTGGGGCCTGTTCAGCCTGGAGAAGAGAAGATTGAGAGGGATCTGATCAACATGTGCAAGTACCTGAGGGGGGAGTATAGGGAGGATGGAGCCAAACTCTTCTTGGTGGTGGCCAGTGACAAGACAAGGGGTAATGGGGACAAGATGAAACCCGGGAGGTTCCATCTCCATGTGAGGAAGAGCTTCTTTGCTGTGAGGGTGCCAGAGCCCTGGCACAGGCTGCCCAGAGAGGCTGTGGAGGCTCCTTCTCTGCAGATCTTCCAACCCGCCTGGATGCCGCCCTGTGCCCCGTGCCCTGGGTGTCCCTGCTGGAGCAGGGGCTGGACTGGATGATCCCTAGAGGTCCCTGCCAACCTCAGCCGTTCTGTGGCTCTGTGAGGACTCTAGCATGGCTCACCAGGAACATCTAGTGACTTTCTTTGCAGCACATTTTTCCTCCAGGCACTTGCTGCACGTCGCATAGGGAATCTGTCACGTGTGCAGGAAGGGGAAGGCTTTTAGCTAGTTAAAAAAAAAGTGTCCAGCCTTCTTAAAATGGTGCGGCTGCGTTTATTTGGGTGTGGATATAATCATGTTTCTGCGATACAATTCCTGTTGAGTCTGAAACGCTGCTGTCAGGACAGCCAGCAGCCAGACAAAAGCTTGGATAAAAGTCAGCGTTTTGGAGCCTCTTCCTGATGGTTCGTGAGAACGTAACGATTTTGCTTTGGACTTTAAATTTTCATAAAACACTAGGTGTGTATTTTCCCTGTGTGTTACTGTTTGTGCATGGATGTTTTGCATCATGTGTGGGGATCTGTATTTTACAGCACCCAAAGCTTCAGAGATGTTGATAGGTGTTGCTGATTTGTTTGTGTCCGTTTCATGCTTGCAGGTGGTGGTGTTGGAGGCTGTTAATGTAATGGAGATGGTGTTTAATCAGAAAGCTTTGCTTGCTGCTGCCTGGTTTTGGGAATTAGTGGACCACAGGACGTGCTTCGTGCCCCGGCTTTGCCAGGGCAGCGCCTTGGTCTTCTCGGTCCAACACGTTTCTGTGTTGTGTAGAGCTCAGCACATACTTCACGAAGATTGGAATGTGTTTATATAATATTTTATATATTATTTTAGGCTCCTGCCTACTCAAACGTAGGCAAATGGTTAACCTCTCCTTCACCACCACTCGGAAATGTGGAATGGCTCTAGCCAGCCTGCTGGACCTAAACCACTTTCTGTGTCTCTGCCGGCAAAGTCACCCTGAAATCCGCTTCTCGGAGGGTGGCTCCCAAGCCGGCGTGGCCTAAGTGGTGCTTGGAGGTGGGGTTGAGTTGTGAACCGTGCTGGGCGAGCGTTGACTTATTGAATTGTGCTAAATTAGGGTGCGCTGGGGTCGCAGCGCGACGCTCCGTGTGCTTGGGTGGCCTTGCTGGCCCTCCGGACAGGGCCCAAGCTGCCTTTGACCCTCTCTCCGGGCACCTCGGGCTTGGCCATCCGAGTGTTTCCAGGGCTCTTCCTCCCTGTGGCTTTTGCTGTCACGTCGCAGCTCCAAGGTGCTGTTCCCTCGCGGCCGCCGCGTGCCGCTTTGGTGGCAGCGGAGCCTCCGTCCGAGGCCGCCGCGTCGCGGGAGGGATGCGGTGGGACAGCCTCATTCTGGGCATTGCGAGCGGAGCCTTGGGACTGCCCTGTGGGTCCCCTTGGTGTCACAAGGCGCCGCAGGGCTAGCGAGCGGCTGGCACTATACTATAGAATATCGTATGAATGCGAATATATATATATATATAAAATACATATGTAACCCTCTCTTGTTCTCCTTTTGCTCTTCCAGAAGGAGACGGCTGCCTCCAGCCAGCGCTGCTGACTCCCGCGCTCCCCTCGTCCCCCGCCGTGTCCTCAGCCTGCGGGCGGCGGGGCCGCGGCGAACCTCCCGGGCACCGGACCATGAGGAGTTCCTGCAGAGCCGGCCTCCACAGGGACCCGCTCAGCGCGCCGGCTGCGCCCTTCCTGCAAGCGAAACGGTACGAGCGGCGCGGCGGCCCGCGTGGTTGCGCCCAGGTCTGGCTTGTGGCTACGCTTCGCTTCCCCTGTGGTGGCTTAAGGGCAGAAATGTTCTCTGGCATTTTTATTGGATAGTGACAACTACAGATTCACTGCAGCTGGCACAGTGCTCGGAGAAACCTTTGAGATATATGTGTGTGTGTGTATATATATATATATACACACATATATGTATATGTATAGAGATACATATATATACACACACACATATTATATATGTTTGTTTTTTTTTTTTTTTTTTTTTTTTTTTTAACAATTTTATTCGGGAATAGGGCTTTGAAATAAAACTGAGCAGGAGGATGACTTGTCATAGTGGACTTTAACTTACACCAGCAGCTTAAAGCAAGCGAAGCGCTGGCAGTCGCTGTGGCGGTCTGCCTTGCTGTGGAGTAAGTAATTAGATTAGTTTAAGCTTATATTCTGTGTTGCCCGCTCTGCTGCACCGCCCCTTAATAAGAAATGCACGATTGATTTTGAGCACTTGTGCTTATGCGACAATTAAGCAAACGCCTCTCACTGCGTCTCGTTATAGGAACACTGCACAGAACAACTTGTCCTTATGCAAATGCACGAACACGCCAGTTTGAGCTCAAGATATTCAAAAAAAATTATATGTATTTGCTTCTGAAATTAAGACTTCTGAGCTTGCTCCATCTGGAGGAAGACGGCCAGCTCTCTGGTTTCCCGAAGCTGTGTGGGTTTAAGGCAGACGTTAACCTTTGCTCTCTGTGGTTGGGTAGACAGCGCAGACTCGTGACGTTCGTCTGATAGTAATTTAGCCCTGGAAAAGACTTGCTGGGTCACCCGGCCTCTTGCTTTCCCAGGCAGTATCTCACACACGCCGTTTTTGTAAACTTGCAGTCTAGCCCCAAAACAACCACGTTTTGCCTCTCTCCTGTCCTAGATCAAGCTGTTCCTGAACGTGGCAGATCTCATCGTGCAGGTAGAAACTTCTGGCTCCTCTGCCGAACATCGGTGCCGCTTACATTCCTCTGCGCGTTGCTTACGCTGCTGGTTTTTTGCTTAGGGAGCACTCGTGTCTGTGGTGTTCCCTTTTGCGGGGCTCTGCAGACAGCAGGGTTCCCCGCGCCGCGTTTTGCAGCGCTGCGCAACGCCGGCGTTTTCTCGCCGCTTCCCGAACGCCGCCTGGCATCGCCGTTCCCGCCGGGCGCTGTGCCGGGAGCGCCTAATCCGCCTCTCTTAGGTGCCTCCAAAACTTGTACCCGGCCTCACCATCTGCACTTTGAAATTCTTGTTTCTGTTACTCGGTGTGTCGTTCCTCCTCTGCCTCGCCTCGCTAGCGGGGCAGCTGCCGCCGTTGTGCTGAGCTCACTCTTGCTTCCGAAGCCCACGCGAGTAAGACGTCGTGCGTGTCCTTTAGAACGATGGTTTTCCTCAGGATTCCTCAGGTTAGTCCTGCATATTGAACTCTTTCCTCTCCGCTCTGTGGCTCTGTAATCCTCTTTGCTTCCAAAATGCCTTTTATATTCAAGTCAGCTAGCGGAACTGTAGAGGCTGTGAGCTCTCCCCTGTTTTTCTTCTCCCTTGCGGTGTCACCTTCAATATGTGTGACACATTCACATAACCCATTAAAATATGGTTACCTCTCTAGAGGTTTAAAATTCCTGCTTCTTGGCCTGTAATTTATGAATCTAGCCTAGTTTGCATTCCAGAATTGAAATGAGCCTCTCTCCCAGTTTTCATGAAACTTCTTGAAATGAGCCTCTCTCCCACTTCTTTTGGTCACTTCCACATTCCTGTTCAAATTAACCCCTGGCCTTTTGCCCTCATGGTTAACCCCTCTTCACAACGAAAGCAAACTCCAAAATTGCGTGTTTTGAGGTCTACCTAGAGCAGTGCTGATCTTTGCCCTGACCTTGCTTATGGCCCTATCTGCCCTCCGTCCTTTCTAACAAACCTTTTGCTGTTGCTTTCCAGAGACTGACACTTCCCCAGTTCTCACACTTAACTCCTAGGCTTTTGGATCTCTAAGATAAAACTTCCCAGGTGATCTGAGACTTCTGTGAGGTAATGATATGTTGAGCTGCAGTTTCTTCTGCAACACTGTGGGATGTGCAGGAAATGCCTGGAAAAAGCCTCCTGGCTCGAGGTGTCTGCAGTGAAACCCTCTGTACCTCCGTCGAGCTGCCTTTGGGAACCGGTTCCTTTAGGTCTTCAGTTTTGAAAGAGCAAACCCGTGGTTCGCCTTCAGACCTGCTTTTGCTTATTCCTCCTTTTTAACTTTGAGCGTCCTTGTCGCAGCGCCGGCCGAGGTTAATTCCCGCCGCCTTTCATACTTTCTCATTAAGTCCCTCCAAAGGCCACGACTGAATAGCGTCACTTCGTGCTGGTTCGTTAGTTGCTCAGTGAAGAAATGTTGGCCGTGGTGCCCTAGAACATCTTGGCTGTGTTGCAGTTAACAAATTAGAGAATGAATGTTAAGGAAGGTAGGGTCTCCAGAAGGAAATGCATCGTTCTTTCTGTAATACTAGGAATCTGAGCTCTAGAAACCCACCACCTTGTTTTTCCTTCTTGCTGTCCTCTTCCGTGTTTCCTTGGGCAGGTTTATCCACCTGATTCGCTCTCATCCCTTCCCAGCTGCACCCTGGCACATGTGCTGTCCCATCATCTTTGAGCAAAGTGGTTTTGGAGCAGCTTAGAGCCCGGAATACCCATTTTTTCCTGTTGATGCCCTTCCCCTCCACGTTGTTTCATCCCAGCATGACCTGTGGTCAGGTTGGGAAGGAGGGGACATGGCTTGGAGCTTCCCCAGTCCTCTGCATCCTGGTGTCACGGTGTGTGGCCTAGTACATAGGGCTGGCCCGGGGCTGCCCCTTGGCTTTTGCCACGTCACCTTGAGCAAACAGCAACCGTGGGTCACGCTGTGGGGTGGCCGTGTGGGCGCTTAGTTAAGGGGTAGATAAAGTGGGTGGGAGCCCTCACACGTGAGCGTGTGTAGCCTGTGCATAAAGCTTGGCCCTGCAACCCGTCGCTGAACCTCTCAGCTGGGTGAAAAATGGGGATCCAGGCACGACTTGTAGCTCCCGAGTGTGGCTGTATCCGCGTGTCACCCCCCGAGCGGGTTCCCCGAACATCCCGTGCGGTAGAACAGGCCGTGGGGGATCCAACATTAAGTTCCAGGCACCTACGTGGCATTTTGGTTCCAAGAGAGCGCCCGGCTGGCTCTGCTCAAGCGCCTGTTGCTCCTGAGGGCCGCGGCGCCCGTTCTCCGAGCTGTCCCCATCCCTGCCGGAGCAGCTGAGCTCCAAACGGAGCAGCGGGTGCCCGGGAGGAGAAACGTCCTGCCAGAGGTTATGTGTAATGTGGAGTTTTGTTACTGCTGGGTTTCTTTTTCCTTTCTCTTTCTTGGCGCACGCCTCTTGTTAGCGTGTCCCGAGGGCTGGCGCGGCATCGGCACCTTCCGCAGCCTGCAGCTCACGTTTCCAAAGAGAAATTCCCAGGAAACGCTGGTCTTGGGATGGAAACCTTGCCTGGAGAGCTCGCAGTTTGGATGCTCAGGTTTATGGGGCTTTTCTTGGGGGTGGTTTGTGTGTTTGATCTTGCTGGCTGGGGAAATCTCTGTGTTTCACAGGGCGCAGGGAGCGTCTCCACAGCCTGGAGCACGGAGGCAATTCCTGGAAAGAGTAGCCAAAACTGCATCTTTTCTGCCAGTTTTTCCTCCCTGGGATTTCCACTGAAACAAACACGTTTAGGCCATTGTGATTTTGAAGGTGCAAATGCAAAAGGATGCAGAAAGGTTCTGGTCAACTCGGGACCACAGTTTATGAGATATTGTTTTGGTTGGGAAAACAGGTATGCATGCATACCTCTAAATGCAGATTTCTATATCTCTCCAGCACAGTAACTATCTTGATAAGAGCATAGTGTAAAAACAAGTCACGGATGCAACTTCTGCAAACAGCAAGCTCATTCCAGAAGCTGAAGTATCCTGTTTTTCCTGTGTGCCTAAGACACAGTAGATGAGTACTGGGAAATCCATCTCTCTTTATTTCCCCGGCTTAATGACGGGATAACTGTTTAAAAGACAGCACTGCTAGTTGTTTTCCTGCTGCTGATTCTTGGCAGAGTTGTCTCTTATCAGCAATTCAAAACTGTGCTTTTGGGATCAAAAGCCTCCTGTGTTTACTCTGCGAACTTCTAAAAAGTTATTGTTTCTGCAGATAAAATTAGATAACTTGATAACCTATCAAAAGGAGGAAGGCAAACAGAGTTATTCTGGTGTTAAGCGTCTGAGGGAATTGTCACTGACTTTACCTTTTTAAACTATTTTTAGTGTTTTTAAATATTTAAAACCTTGCTGTAGCTGCCACGATTCCCTCTTGCAGGCACTGAGATGTTGCAAAGGGAGGTAGGCTGAGCCTGGGCTCTGCTTCACGTTCAGAGCAATTTCTGCTCTAGCTCTAGCAGCGAGGACTGAATTCCACTGCTGATGTGATGCAGGGGAGAGGCCAAGTTATTTGTCCAAAAACTTTTCCTTGTTACTTCCCAGCAAAGTGGGGATCAGGGCAGGGGGAGCTGCTTTTCCCAGACAACACTTTCAGGTAAGGTCCACTGCAAAATGCCCTTTAAAATGGAGTTCTCCTCTCTGCTGCCTGAAAATTGGAGACAGGTGGCAGTCAGTGCATTTGGTCAGGGGGAACTAGCAGTGTTCCTTTATAGCCCTCTGAAGCCATTAAATGGAGGTTTTCTTTAATTCTGGATCCATTAAAATGGTGCAATGAACTGAATGCTGAATTCAAATGAGGCAATTATTCTGGCAGGACAACTTCTGACTAAGGCATAATTTTGTTATGTAAATTATAACTTTTCAACCTTAAATAGTTGTTGGCTTAGCCAGAGACTAACCGAAACGCGGCGGGAAATACAACCTTAAATGAGAAATCCGTAATAGGTGAGGCCTAACTCTGCCTTTTGTCTTTCTCCACGGACCAGAAATAGCTCTGAGCAGCTGAACCAACTTTGCAGGCTGAACATGTCCTCTGAGCGTGTCGGAGCAACCAGTCCGGTCCTGTTCTCGTTCGTACGATACCTGCTCTCACCTTCGTCGGCAGTTCCTCGTCGTGACGGGTGTTCAGGAATCGCATCCAGGCGGGTTGGAAGATCTGCAGAGAAGGAGCCTCCACAGCCTCTCTGGGCAGCCTGTGCCAGGGCTCTGGCACCCTCACAGCAAAGAAGCTCTTCCTCACATGGAGATGGAACCTCCTGGGTTTCATCTTGTCCCCATTACCCCTTGTCCTGTCTCGTTGTGTCTCCTCTTGCCGCGGGGAGCAGCCGGGGGCTCTGGGGCCACCCGCGCTCTTCAGCGCTGCTCTCTTGTCCGAGCCTGGTCAGGCAACTGGGATCCTCTAGAACATCAGGCCGAAGCAAAACACAGTGGCCCCCTCGTAGTGGTCTCTCTGATCCTCTCTTTTAGCATCCTAAGATGTATATTTTTTTTCAGATCATCGCAGTTTTAGGACACAACTCGGAAGGAAAGCGAAATAGCTCGGTTGCGTTTTGGGAAGCAGACTAAAGCAGGAGGTGACCCAGTTCCAACAGGAGCCGGAATTAACACACGCGTGGGGAGAGAGAATTATCCCAGGAACTAGCAGTAGGTCTGTTCAGTGAGGCCTGTGCCCCACATGCTGCGGCCCCGTTGCTCGGCGGCCTTTCCCCATCCATCCTCGTGGGAGCTGCGTGTCCCGCTCCCATCGCGGCTGCGGAAGGGCCCGCTTGGACTCTCGGCTTCACCTTTCCGGGTAAAGACTTATCCTCTGCGTTAACTGCAGCTGTTACGAACTTCCCAACTTTGCAGGTGTTCAGGCTCGGCGTTTCCAGTTAAAAATGCTAGGCCTGAAATACAAAAAACACTGTTCTGGTGGGAAACCCTCTTCAGTGCCTGGGCTGGTTCTTGTTTGTGTCGTTAGGATGAATGTGGCATTGAACTTGCTGGTGTTAAACTAACAAGCGTGGATTATTCCCGTTTCAGGAAGGAGGCTTTTTATTGTAGCAATTCCAAGATTGCCATGGAAACGTCATCTATAGATAGTTCCACAACGTGCTTATGTGATAGTGCGGGGAGAAGAGCCCCAAGCCCCCTGATCCTCGGATCCTGTGTGGCAACGTCCTGCACGTGCAGCTTTGAGTGGAGAGTGACTCCGAGGAGGAGGAGGGGGCAGCGAGTGCCCGGGACCACTGTGGTGCCCACGTGTCCCTTCGGAGCCATGAAATCCTGCAGCATAAAAATACTCGCTTGAAAGTGGTTCTCTGCAGCCCCAACTGATGCTTCTGTAGTCTTTTCTTCCCTTCTGTAGTTTTTTTTCTTGCCTTTTCTTCACAGAAAAGGGACACAGTTACCCTTGGGGGCAGCTACGCCAAATTTGCCGTTGTATTAAAGGATAAATTTCATTTTGGGTGGTATTAGGAGACCGCCTACCTTATGGGATCGCTGGTGATGGATGCGGCCACAACTGCTCATTCTCTGTTCGGTTTTATTCATTCTTTATCTGTTGGAAAGAGTTAATGAAGTGGTAGCTGCTGCCAAGGTTAGTGCTTTGGCCCACGTGTGCCTTGCGGCTGGATGGAGAAGTGAACGGGCCAGAGGATGGCTCTAACTCTAGGATGAACTGGTAGCTGTAGTTGTGCTATGGATATAACTTAAATTAAAAATAGAGGGGCGCGGGTTCTCTGGACTTGCATGGAAACCAATTTATCCCATGGGAAGGTCTCCGCTGTCCTTGTGGTTGCGGTTGTGTTGCAGGGTGTGAGGAGAAGCCCCAAAGGGCTTTTCCTTTCCTCCGGGTTCCTTGGGAGGTGTGGGCTGCTCTCGTTCTAGGCAGGCAGATCTTGCAACTATAATTTCTTCCCTTTCTGTTTTCCCTAGGGTTTCTGGGATGCACTTAAAGCCATATCTCAAGTTACAGAAGAAAGAGCGATCGCCAGAACTAAGCCAGGATTCCCTGCGAAGTCCACCTATGAGCCATCAAAGAGCCACACAGGAAGAAAAATACACTAACAACTGCACAAAACTGAGCCCTTTCCCCAAACCCTCCCTCGTGCCTCCGTCTCGAAAGCTTCTGGGAATTATTTATCCGAATACTATGTGCAATATGAACGGGAAGGCTCCCGCAGACGCTCCGAGTGCCAGGGAGAAGAAGGGCGGCCTGTCCGCCACCATCCACCAGGGAGAGGAGGGCGAAGGCCCGCTGGACGTGTGGGCCGTCGTGAAGCCGGGCAACACCAAGGAGAAAATCGCGTTCTTCGCAGCCCAGCAGTGCAGCGGCGGCGGCCGCTTCGGCTCCATGAAGATCAAGAGCACGTGGGACATCGACGGGAGAGCGGCGAAACGCCGGAAAAAATCGGTGGATCTGAAAAAAGCCCGGCTGCAGCTGGAGCGCGTGCGGGAGGCGAGCGCGCGCTGCGCCCCGCCGGAGCCCTTCGCCTGCGGCAT